CTATTTACAGGGCAGACGTAGACCAAAAGGGTCTAAAAGACACCCAGAGCTGTTGTGAGAGATGAAGCATTATCGGAGACAATCCCTGACTCGTGCAGAGGTGAAGCGCTACTTGGTGGTGGAGGTGGCGATCTCTCGTGGTCAATAGCTGACGTTGTCATGATGATATGCAGAGGTGGAGGCACTTTATGCCGTTGCTGCTGTTGTTGTTGAACCGAAGATGTAGAGCTAGAAAACCTTGGTGAACTGCCCAAGTTACTGGGAGATGCTTGACCAGATGGAGGTTGATGTGGCGATTCCCTTGGTGTATCATGACCGTTGAAGAGGCCTGGAACTGGGGTTGAAGCTGCTACTTGGTGGAGTCGTTCCTCCATTGTTTGAAGGTTGTGTGGATAGGGTGGAGGTGCGAGTTTTTGACCCAGGTTGAAGAGGCGCTCACTTGTGGACATCTTCTCACTGACTGCCGGAGCTCGTTCAGCAAATACTGTGCTAACTACCTCAAGACCGTTATGCGACAAGGTATTTTTTTTGTGCAACGCAGGGTAATATAACTTTCTAGATTCTGAAACTGGAGTACTAGAAATAACGCTCTCCAAAGGGTTGGTTTTACTTTCCCTTCGCCTTCGTTTACGACAAGTTTGGCAAGATAGAATGGCTGCTGATGTTACTACCAATATGAGGGCTGCACAGACGATAATTATAAGGAAGGGGATTTTGTTGTGTGGAAGGATTTCATTATGTCCTTTGGCGTTTTCAATCGTTGTTGCGACAGATTCTAGGATATTTATGGGTCGTTTCCGAGAGATGCGATTGGGCAGAGGAAGACGCGGACAAGAAATGTCTATAAAAGGCCCCATTGTGGTATCAGGGTCGCCACTTTGACGACCATAGATACCTCTCAGACGGAGTCTATTAATACCTGCAATAGTGTCGTCATTGGGTATGCGTACTACTGCTTTCGTGGGTAAAAATTCACCTACCAATCGGTGTCTGTGGACAATAGAAACTGCATCTTGCAGGTCACTTTCATCGACTGTTGAAAACTCATCGAATGCGCTGGGTATGATTGCCAAAATGGGATTATCGAGAAGATCTAGATCTCGAAGGTGTTTAGCCCCAATAAAGGCTTGATCTGAAATCACGGTCAAGAGATTTCCACTTAAATCAAGGGATTTTAACTGAGGGAAATCTGCAAAGCCTCCTTCTGGTAGACAGACGATTCGATTGTTGGAGAGATTCAAACCATGGAACCGACTTCCCCTCTGTGCTATCACCATGCGCTTGAAAGCGATATAAGGAACATCCGCCAATTGATTCCCTGAAAGATCTAACTCCTCCAAATGGCGCAATTCAACAAAGGTCTCTGGATTGATAGTAGAGATTCTGAAGTTAGATATTTCTAAATGTCGAAGTGCTTGTAACCCATAAAGCATACCGGGAGTAAGCACAGTCAAAGAAGATGGTCTGGAATCCAAACCCGAGATTAGGAGCTTCCGCAGTTTTGTCAGAGACTGAAATGCGCCACCTACTATTACAGTGACCGGGTTTCGACGCAGATCCAACTCCTCAAGAAGCTCTAAACCAATGAATATGTCCGATCTTAGTTCGGAAATCGAATTTCCAGCCAGGTTTAGGAATCGAACGCTCCTCAGCGATTGGAAACAACCAGTACGGAGATTTTGCAGTCTATTATTGCTCAAATCAACTTCGTCTAACTTGCTATTTGGATCTGTAAAGCCAGCGAATTCGAAACCGGTTAGAGCTGATAGGGCGTTGTTGGAGAGGTTTAACTGGCGCAAAGTGGCGACCAATCCAGAAAATGCACTTTTTGGAAGCGACAGGAGTGCTGGATCTCCAGTGATGTGAAGAACTTCAAGATTTGGAAGCCCGTTGAAAGCAATTCCGTCTGGAGCAAGGTTGGTTTGGCTGGGAGAGTGAATTCGGAAATCTATGAGATTGTGGCAAGGCTTTTGATAAAATGTCCTTCCTCCAACGATTCGACTTCCGATAATATACAACTGAAAGACGTCATTCTGGCAACAGTAGGTTAGAATATTAGAAAGACTGTCGTCTTCGGATGACGATTCTTCCACGCAGAGGCAAATAGAGCCCTCAATTTTGCACTCAGCTCTGATGTTTTGGGGGAACACTAAGAGACGAAAAATATGAAGAATAGGGAGAA